AAAAAAAAAAAGCCGAAAATTCTCCCACGCCATAACAGCGCACTGCAAATATAATCTCTAATTCATAAAGCACAAATTTTTTTCTTTCGGACATGTTAAAAAAATGGTTTATAGGGGGCAGTTAATGGTCCCCCATACTGCAATCCAGGCCTGTTTTTCATTGGAATAAACATCTCCAAAAGGAGAGGAAATGATTACACACTGCACGCACAAAATATTTTCCTTTTTCAAAAGGAAACCAGATACGCAAACCCATCATGGAGAAATATGGAAAGAACCAAAAAATGGCAAAGGAAACCCAAAAGAAGTAGAGAAAAAAAATGCTTCTTTCTTCCCCAATTTCCAAAGTTGAACTATTTTTTTTTTTTCCGTTTGTTTGCTCATAATCAAACACGTAAAACAAAACCCAAGTAATTTATCCAAAAATGGCAACAAAATAACAGAACTAACCAATCAATGAAGGGACTAACAACAGGGACTGAAAAGGGTAAACAGAGAATTAAAATGGGAAAGGAAGAGAGAGCAGCTTACCCTGTAGAAGACAATTGAAGTGAGATAAAAGAAAAATGGGTAAATTAAATAAACAAATAAATAAATGTAAAAGTGGCAACGGGGTGTGTGTATTTTTTAGAAAGTGTGTGTGTGAGTGAGAGTGAAAATGCGTGAACAGCTGGGCAATGGTAGCCTGTGCTATAGTCTACACACTAAATGTGGGGTTCACTTGAGTTATTCTTTCTTTTATAATCTCGGCGGCCGGCTTACTATTTTTTTTCGTGATTGTATATCTCATTGTAAAAGTTAATTGTACAAATAGCATTTCTAATTTTTTTTTATGTCATCTTTTTTTCTCTACAATTATCTCTATTTTATATTAGTGTGTTCTACTTTTTCTGTGCTTTTTAACTGAACACAAATTTACTAAATCAAGCATGAATCAAGTGTGAAGCTATTTTAATAATATTTTTACTTGGAGTATGTGTTTTTTAGTTCAGATGAGATGAGGTGGCTTCAATAATGAATAAATGTTTAACTTAAGTTATTAGCTTTGATATATAATAGTATTATTTTCTCCACTTCTAATTAAATCAACCTACTCCTTTAAATTATGTGAGCCCATCTTGCTAAGATTTGAGCTCGTCTGATTAATAAAAAGATGAACTCGAGTTCCTTATTTAATTTTTAAATTATAGTATATTTCAACTTGTTAAGGTTACTCGTTAAACCTTTATATGACTCAATTGTTTTGATAAATAAATTGACCTTGAATTCGTTAGGTTTGATAAGCAAGTATTTATGTAATCCTTTTAGTATAATTTGACTCGTTATGATTTAAGCTCGACTCATTAAGACTCATTTATGAGCAATGTTTGAGCTCGTTATCCACTCGACGCAATAGGAACCCGAACTTGAGTTTGAGTATCAAAAGCTCGAACTCAACTAGGCTCGTTACTATCCTTACTCCTATCTTCAATAAATCATATTTCAACTGTTAGTATCATTCTAAAATAATGAAGATAACTAATTTCCTTTAATAATTATTAGTACATTTTAGTTGAATAAGATATTTGTATCCACACTCGTGCATCATTAATGGTGGAGTTAAGAAGAAGGGTTCATAGATGAAGCTCAAAATTAATTTGGTAAATGTATGAATTTGAGTCAAAAGTCAAAACCTCAATTGAATGTAGAAATTAAGGAAGGATATGCAGTGAAGCCGGTTGGATATGTAGTGAAGCCGGTAGATGGGGATCGATCGGACGGCAGAGATTGCGGCATGGAGTAGTGATTGGCGACGTGGACGGCGGGGATTGATGGATGAGTAAACGACAGGATAACTTGTGCTGGCTCTGACACATGGCACAGAAGAGGTGGATGGTGGGGGAGAGTGAGCGCGTTTCCCACTGAGTCAACTCAGCTACTTTTCAGTTGTTTGTGTTTTGTCTCTTTCCCTCACAACTTTTCAATTTCTATTCCATCTTTTACTAGTAAAATTGTTTAAATTATCTTTTACTTAATCAAAATATTATTGGGCGAGCAAATTTTATTTTTCATTCTTCAATTAAACATACAGATTTATCTATTTATTATAATCTTCTATTCTCAAAAACTTAATATGAATTTTATTTTTAAAAATCAAATCATATATATTATACATTTTTTTTCAAACAATACTTATTCATTCACCTTTTTATTATTATGCTATTTTTCTATTACATCACAATTAATAACTGCTCATCATATTATATTCTTATTATATTGTATTATAGCACATCATCTTGCTTTATATTGTTTCATAATCTTGAATTTTCTTATAAATAAGTCTACCCTTTTGGTGGATATTGCTATGGTTTCAAACTTCATTTTACATTTCTAAAAATTTGGGCCAAAAGTGCGGCTACCAGATTAAAGATGGGATTAACTTATTAACCGCTCAATCGTGGCGTGCGTGAGCAATGTGTGAACTTTGATTCACACAAATTATTCTATTAAACATTAATTCTCCAACAAAATCAATATCGGTATGACTTATGAGGTGGTCTGCAAAAAATAGGTCAAATTTATGAGCTTAATAACCTGCATGTAGGGTTACTTATTTCAAATTGCGAGCTTCCATATTAAATGTTGTAGTACCTGCAAGTTTGGTGATTTGTATGTTTCATGCTATATCACAGTCTGGAAGTTGAAAATAAAATTTAGTGGAAGTAAGAAAATATGTGATGTAAACCGTTACATTTTCTGTAACAAAACGTGGAAATTAATTTCTTAATCCGTTGCTTAAAAAAGTAAGAANNNAACACACACACACGCTGCAAGCAAGTGCATCGATAACTCTTTATAGGCAATAAAAAAATCATTGTTTTTAAACCTTGAAATTCACTCACAATATGAGTGAAGGATGTAAATTTTATTTATCATAGGTGTAAAATTGTTCATTCGTATGTGAAACGTATACATTTATCGCGAGTGCGCTCAACTTTTTAAGAATAAGAATAAAGATTTAATATAGCGGAAGAAATAAATCGAAAATTTTAAAAAACTCTTCATGGAAGCATCTCACTTCCCCTTAGAGCTCTTTCATTGATAACTCTTTCAAACATAGTTTGGACTTATAACAACTAGAACTCCCTTCTAGCCTAGCCACAACTATGTACAAATCTATCAACTACTTTTCCGGGCACGTCCCGTGGACTTTTTACCTAACACTTACTCCCTAAGTGTAAATCACAAAAGGTCTGAATCAAAATAAAGAAAATAAAATCAAATGACTTCGGTTCTTCGATATCCAAGAGTACCAAGAACTGAATCGAAAACAAAAATATAAGCACAAGACTTGAAGCTCGAATGTAGCGTGTATGAAGATAAACTCAGCAGCCCTAATTCGATCTTCAAGATAGGTATTTATACATCTCCTTAGGTGTAGAGTCTTTTCCAAGTATCTTGATTTCCTTCCAAGTTTATCCAAAGTCCCATACAAGCATTAGGACTCTTCTTTCTCTCTCCAATATCTTATTTCCTTTCCTGATTTAGCAAGTCAATCTTCTCTTAATCTCTCCTCATCTCGTGCGTGTGCCTTCCATAAAGCCGCAACCCTACAAGATAATACCATAATAAGATCATGCAACTTAATTAACAAAATAGATAGAAAATTCGAATATCTATAGAAGTAAACAAATAAACTTCCCTGTTATATATATTCTTTGTGCTTGTAGGAACCTATCTTCAATATATTTATTTTTGAACTCATGCCACAAATAATACTCTTTCAGTATGACAATGGAATAGTCCCTTATCTCTATAAATATAATAAAAATTACTATTTACCATTAATAGTAACTAGAAATTTTAGGACAACATTAATTGTTTACTATTTTTAGATTTTTTTTTTCTTTTTTTTTTTAACATTAATCCTTATCATCATTTGACTTAGGCGGCCTAAAAAAGTGAAATTTAATTTGAAAAATTCAAATCAAATCGTGTCCTAAAAATTTGTATTTTTGTTAAATCCCTCATAATACAATCCTATATCAATACCATTTTTGAATTTATTTTCTTTAAACGTACAACAGAAACAGTATCCACGTACACAATTTATGACTTCCTAAATTTGAGTAATTTGTTGGTCCCAAGTTAGCAGGGGCGGAGCCAGGATTCAAGTATGGGGGGGACAATGAACAAAGTAAAGTAGAACTAATAGCCACATCACATGGTTTCAGTCATATATAATAGTAGCATGTTTCACAAGTCTTAACCAAAACAAAATTACATTTCTATTATCTTAAATTTTGCTCTACGACTACCAGCAAGATCATAGGCTTTAATAAGTTCATCCGTACCAATTGATGCAGCCAATTCTTTCTCAATATAAAGTACCAAACAATCTCGCAAGAATCCATCTCCCATTGCACATCGAAGACGTGTCTTCACAATTTTCATAGCTGAAAAGCATCTTTCGGTGGTTGCAGTTGATACTGGAAGAGTTAATATCAATCTTAACAACCTATCCACCATAGGATAAGATGCATATTT